ATTTTTTTTTTTTTATTATCTATAATTAATAATTATATATATTTTTAAATATTTATAGAATATTACAAAACAAGGTGATTCATATATAAAATTTTCTAATAACAAAGAATATTTATTTTAATTCACATTAGAATTCTCTAATACACTTTCCGTTTTAGAATCTCACAGATTTAAACCTGAAATCGTTATATTAAAATTTCCAAAACATTAATTTGATCATATCTGTATTTATCCACGTGTGTTGTTGTAGTAACACTACATGTAGGAGTGGCAGAAGAATTCTCTGGAGAGGTGAGAATTAAAGCAATAGTTCACCATTTTCTCGCCTGCATGTCATTCCAAACCTCGGTGAAACACAAGAGGAAATGTTTTGAATAATGTAGTTTGTTGCTCTTTTTCATATTTTCCATGCTTTTTAAATATCACCAAATCATTTGGTTGAACTGTTTCATTAAAATGAATCATCCAAATGAACTGGCTCTTTTGAGTCAATTTTTGTTGCACTGTTATTTTATGCATAATCATTTTCTATTTTTAACTGTTTTAAATTCCTTGTTGTGATTATTTTTTATGATTATTTTACTTTATTTTATGTAAAGCACTTTGAATTACCATTGTGTATGAAATGTGCTATATAAATAAACTTGCCTTGCCTTTAATAAATCATTTGATCCAGTTCACAAAACTGCTACTTTTTGTGAGTAACTGTCAGTGTAGTTGTGGTTTAACTATGTTAAAGGAATAGTTCACCCAAAATGAAAATGTGCTGTAAATGTGCTCACCCTCAGGCCACCAGAGATGTAGATGAGTTTGCGTCTTCATCAGATTTGGAGAAATGTAGCATTGCATCAGTGTCTCAGCAATGGATGCTCTGCAGTGAATGGGTGCCATCAGAATGAGAGTCCAAACAGCTGATAAAAACGTCACAATAATCCACAAGTAACCCACAGCACCCCAGTCCATCAGTTAACATTTTGTAAAGCCAAAAGAAACAAATCCATTAAGTCTATAATTCTATAAAATCAGAGTCTATAATCCATAATAACTCTTTCTCCAGTGAAAAAGTGTTCTGGTCTGAATCAGGAGAGAAATCTGCACAGATCAAGCAGCGTTTAAACAGCTCTAAACACATATGTGGCTGGATTTTGATGTGAGAGACAACAGCAGATGCACTTTTTCACTGGAGGAGGCGTTATTATGGATTATGGACTTGAATTACAGCTGAAAGCAATGGTTTGAAGTTAAAAACGTCTTGATGAATTTGTTTCTTTCAAACACGCAGCTTTTGTCGTCTCCAGATGTTAACTGATGGACTGGAGTGGTGTGGATTATTGTGATGTTTTTATCAGCTGTTTGGACTCTCATTCTGACGGCACCCATTCACTGCAGAGCATCCATTGCTGAGACACTGATGCAGTGACACATTTCTCCAAATCTGATTAAGAAACAAACTCATCCTAATCTCGGATGGCCTGAGGATGATTTTTGGGTGGACTACTTCTTTAAATAGCTTGACAGATGACAGTTTCAGAGTGGCTTCACTCTTGACTTTGAGCAGATGGAAAGCTCCATTTATGAAACCCGATGACACAGTGATAGTCTGGGTCCTCAGGAGAGGATCTAGTGTCCATGTCTCATCTCAGAAAGGCTCTCACAGATGAGATCAGGTCTTCATGAGCGCATACCTCAAAAAAAATTTCAGAATTGCGAGATTTAAACTCGCAATTACTTTTTAAATTTTTTATTCAGGTGTTTTGGGAAATGGGTTTCCATAGATGTATGTTTATGCTGATACTAGAGTTTCATTAAAGCTGCAGTTCATAACTGTTTTTAGAATCTGTGATTACTAAGTATAGATTCACACCGGTGCGGTGACTGACTGCCACACATACTCTTCAGAACATTAGATTCATCCGCGCTGGAGCCGCGCCGGAGCACAACCCACACAAGCTAGATAATTCCACACACAGCTGCAATTACAGGTTTTCAAACAGAGATGGCGACAAAGAGGCAAAACTTACAGACTGCAGCTTTAAATAAACATGCATAATTTAAAATTTGCATACACATTTATAATTTTCTCTGGCTTTCTCTCAGCTAAAGTGGTGAGTTCTCGCGCATCCTCTTCGTCCGGCTCTCTCCAGCGATCGCGCAGCGATGTGGACGTTAACGCCGTGGCCAGTGCCAAATCACGAATGCCTGCTGTTGCTGCTACCGCCCCCTTCAGCTCAGCCGCGGCACTGCCGCCCGGTTCCTACGCCTCTCTGGGTAAAACAACCCACACTTACATGTTTAGAGCGGTAGAGTAAATACTGATGTAGAGAGCCAGACAATACCATAATGAGGTGATTGTGTGAAATATAAGGCCCCATTTTTATGTGTGTGTGTGTCTGTGCTGTTAATGTCCTTCAATTATTATTAATAATAATAATAAATGTCATAAATAAATAGATAAATGTCATATATATTGATTTATAATTATATTTAAATTATAATTAAAGGGCATTAATTGTAAATGTTTATATATTATATACTATATGTAATTTTATTTAAATATATATATTTTTTAATATTAATTTTTTTTGTAGAGAGCCGAACAACCCGATAACAAGGTGGTTGTGTGAAATTTAAGAACTCTTTTTAGGTGTCTGTGCAGTTAAGCTATTTTAATTATTATTTAAATAATAATACACTTTATATTAAAAAAATATATATTTATGTTTAAATTAATAATTAAAGTACATTAACTTTGAACATGCTTGTACTATTTATATTTAAATAATTAACGTATAATTAATCACATTTAAATTTATTATTTTTTAATTATACGTTTTAAAGATCATATCTCATTATAGAATATCACATTATTTAGTGAGTTTAGAAATGATAAAATTTTGATTCAATTTACTTGTTGAACTAGCACACCTTCTGTAAAGTGACGACACATGATCATTTTAATGCCATGTTTTAGCCTTTTTTGAAATATAAAAGTGAATTAAGTAATGTTGACTTGTCCAATGGTATACATTTATTATTACTATTATTCTATGCATGACAACAGAAAGATGCTATGTTGTCGACAATGCCCAGACAAACTATATCTGTTTTTGTGCTCTGTTTGATTTTGACTATATTTACATGCTTTGCATAAATATATTTATGTATAAGCAAGCTTTTGGATCAGGCATTAGAATCTATTCCAAGCATGAATTTTGACACACACGTTCATATGAGGGGGTTTTGATGAATAATGCACTCCTGCATGATCCCAAACGGTTTCCTCTAACACGCGCTGATGCTGTTGTCTTCTGTTGTACCTCTGCTCTTATTTGCTCAAAGATGCGGCTGGTAATGTGGAGGGTAAGATGTGTGTGTCTCGTCTATCACTCTGTGCCGTTTTGTGTTGAAATGCCGTCAGTCTGTTTGAGACGCACACAGGAGACGGGTCCAGTTCATTGGCCAATGTGGGTAATTTGATAAATATGTGACATAAAATCAAGATGCAACATTCTCCAGCATTTATATGAATATATGTTTGGATAAGCGCTTTGAACATGTTCATGTCAGTCAGCATGAGTCTTCACAGCGTCTGTGTTCGGTTTGGGTTTGTTGAGTATAAGTCGTGTGTTTGGGTTTTGTATTTAGGTGTTTGTGCATCTATGCATCAGTTAAATGAATTGTGCAATAAGTAATGTCTGTTTATGCCTGTTTGATTAAAATATAAATGTATTTAAAAGCATTGAATTAATATATGCATTTGTAATATTACGTTTATATATATATATATATAATTAAATATTAAATTAATTATTTTTATTTTATTAAATTGTTTTTATTTGTAAATTAAATGTATATTATTTGTTAAAATATGAATATTAATTTAAATAATTATTTAATTCACAATTAACAATTTCAAAATGTAAATGTTTTCATCTAATATTTATATTTTGTTTTATTTCAGCTTTATTTCAATTCAGTTTTCATTTTGATTTTAGTTGAATTTTTAGTCATTTTATGTGCTTTTGTCATTTTTATTAGTTTTTGTTTTTTAAATATTTCTAAATCATTTTAATTTGTTTTTTTGTTTTACTTTTATTTTAGTTCGTAATTTTTGTACTTCAGCATATTGTTGCAAAGGCAGCATTTCAAATTTTTTAATTTTGTTTGTTTTTCATCTAATATTTATATTTTATTTTATTTTAGCTTTATTTAAATTATTCAGTTTTCTTTTTGTTTTCAGTTTAAATTTGAGTCATTTTATGTGCTTTTGTCATTTTTATTATACATTTATAGATATTCCTAAATTTATATTTCAATTTGTTTCACTTCAGTTAGAAATATACATACTAATAAGTTGAACTATTTTCAAAATGTTCTTGTAGTTTTTAATCAGGCATGTATATTTAATTTTTATATATTAAAAATATGAATGTATAAAGTATATAGTTATTAAATAAATTTTAAAATAATTTTTTTTTGTTACTAAAATGATTTTTGTGTTCATCCGTAATTTTACGGTTCTGTATTCTTTCTCTGTCCTTCTGCAGGTCGTGTGCGAACAAGACGACAGAGTTCAAAGACGACAGCTGGGGGCGGAGCTTCTGTGACTGACAGTAGGGGGCGGAGCCGAGCCAAAGCTGTGTCCCAATCACAACGTGAGTTTTTGGTTACATCATCCTGTTCAGCTGTCCTAGATCAGGATTTATGCTTGTCAATCAAATATCTTTACACAGAAATTATAGAAATATTATAGAGACAATTAAAGGGATAGTTCACCAAAAAAGGTTTTGCGTTTGGGTGAGTAAATGATGGCAGTGTTTTCATTTTGCGGTGAACCGTCCCTTTAAACAAATGATAAACCTTGATCAAGAGATGTACGGTATGCTTTAATATCATTGGCTGCAGTGTAATATATATTATACTCCAGTATAATGTGGCTCTCGTGTGTTTTCGGTTGACATCCCTCTTAATGAAGAGATATGAGCTCCATCTCTCTTCCTGTGCCGCCTCATAAACATCAGCATGCTTTAGATCAGCTGATGCATGGACTCATGGGTAATGTAGTTTCTCTTCACTGTCCCGCGTCAAGGATCCAGATCGGCTAATCCGGTGGTGGGTAAAACTCACGGTACGGAGTAAAACACGGATTGATGTCTGCATGCATCCCGTCATGAAAGCATGATCCACTGTACTGCTGCGATTGATTCCCGGATGTGTTATTATTATGATTTTGCTGTCATATCTCTGTTTTTGTCAAGTCACTTTAAGGCGAGTCAGTTCACTCGGCGTCCATCTTGGTAGTGCGCTTGGTTAGTTATTTCCAGCCAGTATAGTAATCGTTAACTTCTACTAAAACTGTTATTTGTCGGTTAAAATAAAGCTAAACTAAACTAAAATATAAATATTAAATAACAATAATGTATGATTTAAATGTTGAAATATTGCTTTGCAACTAACTGAAATAAGTTGAAGTTGAAGTAAGAAAATTACTAAATGAGATAAAACTGAAACTGGAATGTAAAATAATGTTTTAAAAATAAATTGAAATGATTTAGAAATATGAAAAATTAACAAAACTAACAAAAGCACATAAAACAATTGCTAAAAAATTTGGGTAAAAATGAAAAATATTGTAAAATTGTAATAATAAAATGAAATAATAATAATAATAATAATAAAATGTAGAAATATAAAAAAACACATTTACTAAAAATTAAGCTAAAACCAAAAAATTATGTAAAAATTATTAAAAAATAAATTAAAAATATTTTTAAAAACAAATTTTTTTATAAAAATGAAAAAAGCACATAACACAATTACTAAAAATTAAGCTAAAACTGAAAAATAATGTCAAAATGTAAAAATTATTAAAAAAAAAAATTAAAGTTAATAAAAATGACAATCACATAACACAATTAATAAAATTAAGCTAAAACGTAAAAGTAATGTAATTTTTAAAAAAAATGTAAAGGAAAATTAATAAATATGACAGTTAGTAAAAATTACGTTGAAACTGAATTTTAGATATTTTAAAAATTGTATTAGCAGAGGCCCCGCCCTGAGTGAGCCGCACACAATCCGCCATGTTTATCTTCACGCTAGAGCCTTTAAGTTTAGAAATGTCTTCTTATTAAAGCTATAGAAGTTATTCAGTCATGAGTGCTGTTAATTTTGTCAGCTATTTTCAGTTTTATTCTTAGTCTTAGTCCCGTGTTAAATGTCCTTGTTAGCTTTTATCATATTTAGTCAACCTTATCCTATTTTTATTTTGCTCAAGTTTTAGTCAACTAAGGTCCGGTTTCACAGACAGGGCTTAGAATAAACCAGGATTAGGCCATAGTTCAATTAGGACATTTAAGTAATTTTTATTAGCATGCATTAGAAAAAACATTACTGGTGTGCATCTTGAGACAAAAAGTGAAATAACATTGTTTCCAGCATTGTGCTTTCAGCTCCGTCTGTTTAAAATGAGAAAGAATCAGGAATAACAATAACAAGGCCAACATTTATTGTGATTCTTAAGTTGAAATCATTTTCTGGCTGTAACAACAAAGCCTATTTTGTAAACAAATACAATGTTGTAAATGATCTCTTAAACGTATTCATAATATAATGATATACTGTACAGAAGCTTGCTATATTAAGTGTTATGTTTTCTCCATTTTAGCAATGTACGAGTGGACGGTCTCTGCCTTACACAGGCTCTGTTTATGTGTCCGATGAATGTGCCGCTTGTATTGATGTACTCTAGACATATACAGTATTTACAGTAACACTGACATTAAATCAATTAACAGAACACTGTTTAAGTTAAGCGTATCTGTGTTACAGCGGGCAGCCGCTCTAGTTCACCCGGGAAGCTTTTGGCGCGCTCTTCCATGAGAATCCCTCGATCCGCCGGATCCGCTGGAGCGCCGTCGGACAAACGCAGTAAGATCCCACGCAGTCAAGGCTGCAGCCGAGAGACGAGTCCCAGCCATGCACGAAACGGTAAGACATTTACATCTGTTCGCCTAGCAGATGCAACTTTATGTTGAATATTAAAAGGGCTCCTATTCTGCAACATCATCCTGTTCAGCTGTCCTAGATCAGGATTTATGCTTGTCAATCAAATATCTTTACACAGAAATTATAGAAATATTATAGAGACAATTAAAGGGATAGTTCACCAAAAAAGGTTTTGCGTTTGGGTGAGTAAATGATGGCAGTGTTTTCATTTTGCGGTGAACCGTCCCTTTAAACAAATGATAAACCTTGATCAAGAGATGTACGGTATGCTGTAATATCATTGGCTGCAGTGTAATATATATTATACTCCAGTATAATGTGGCTCTCGTGTGTTTTCGGTTGACATCCCTCTTAATGAAGAGATATGAGCTCCATCTCTCTTCCTGTGCCGCCTCATAAACATCAGCATGCTTTAGATCAGCTGATGCATGGACTCATGGGTAATGTAGTTTCTCTTCACTGTCCCGCGTCAAGGATCCAGATCGGCTAATCCGGTGGTGGGTAAAACTCACGGTACGGAGTAAAACACGGATTGATGTCTGCATGCATCCCGTCATGAAAGCATGATCCACTGTACTGCTGCGATTGATTCCCGGATGTGTTATTATTATGATTTTGCTGTCATATCTCTGTTTTTGTCAAGTCACTTTAAGGCGAGTCAGTTCACTCGGCGTCCATCTTGGTAGTGCGCTTGGTTAGTTATTTCCAGCCAGTATAGTAATCGTTAACTTCTACTAAAACTGTTATTTGTCGGTTAAAATAAAGCTAAACTAAACTAAAATATAAATATTAAATAACAATAATGTATGATTTAAATGTTGAAATATTGCTTTGCAACTAACTGAAATAAGTTGAAGTTGAAGTAAGAAAATTACTAAATGAGATAAAACTGAAACTGGAATGTAAAATAATGTTTTAAAAATAAATTGAAATGATTTAGAAATATGAAAAATTAACAAAACTAACAAAAGCACATAAAACAATTGCTAAAAAATTTGGGTAAAAATGAAAAATATTGTAAAATTGTAATAATAAAATGAAATAATAATAATAATAATAATAATAAAATGTAGAAATATAAAAAAACACATTTACTAAAAATTAAGCTAAAACCAAAAAATTATGTAAAAATTATTAAAAAATAAATTAAAAATATTTTTAAAAACAAATTTTTTTATAAAAATGAAAAAAGCACATAACACAATTACTAAAAATTAAGCTAAAACTGAAAAATAATGTCAAAATGTAAAAATTATTTAAAAAAAAATTAAAGTTAATAAAAATGACAATCACATAACACAATTAATAAAATTAAGCTAAAACGTAAAAGTAATGTAATTTTTAAAAAAAATTAAAAGGAAAATTAATAAATATGACAGCTAGTAAAAATTACGTTGAAACTGAATTTTAGATATTTAAAAAAAATTTAAACAAGTTCAAACTATTCAGAAATATTTCTTAAACAAAAACTAATAAAAAAGACAAAAGCACATAACAAAAAAAAAGAATAAAAATCCCATTCAAAAGCCAATTCAAAATGATAATAAGTAACTCTAATAGATATAAAAGAGTATATATAAATAATAGTGAAATAACATTGTTTCCAGCATTGTGCTTTCAGCTCCGTCTGTTTAAAATGAGAAAGAATCAGGAATAACAATAACAAGGCCAACATTTATTGTGATTCTTAAGTTGAAATCATTTTCTGGCTGTAACAACAAAGCCTATTTTGTAAACAAATACAATGTTGTAAATGATCTCTTAAACGTATTCATAATATAATGATATACTGTACAGAAGCTTGCTATATTAAGTGTTATGTTTTCTCCATTTTAGCAATGTACGAGTGGACGGTCTCTGCCTTACACAGGCTCTGTTTATGTGTCCGATGAATGTGCCGCTTGTATTGATGTACTCTAGACATATACAGTATTTACAGTAACACTGACATTAAATCAATTAACAGAACACTGTTTAAGTTAAGCGTATCTGTGTTACAGCAGGCAGCCGCTCTAGTTCACCCGGGAAGCTTTTGGCGCGCTCTTCCATGAGAATCCCTCGATCCGCCGGATCCGCTGGAGCGCCGTCGGACAAACGCAGTAAGATCCCACGCAGTCAAGGCTGCAGCCGAGAGACGAGTCCCAGCCATGCACGAAACGGTAAGACATTTACATCTGTTCGCCTAGCAGATGCAACTTTATGTTGAATATTAAAAGGGCTCCTATTCTGCAAAATCCACTTTTACATGGTGTTTGGACATAAATATGTGTTGGCAGTGTGTGAACACAACCACCCTACAATGATAAAAATCCACCCACTCCTTATTTTTTAATCTCCATTAAACCAAATCAGTCTCGTTAGACCTGCCGTTTTGATTCTCTGAGCAGTGTGACATCACATTGTCTAGGCCCCGCCCCCACAGCCGCTGACTGAGACTGCCGTATTAGCAGAGGCCCCGCCCTGAGTGAGCCGCACACAATCCGCCATGTTTATCTTCACGCTAGAGCCTTTAAGTTTAGAAATGTCTTCTTATTAAAGCTATAGAAGTTATTCAGTCATGAGTGCTGTTAATTTTGTCAGCTATTTTCAGTTTTATTCTTAGTCTTAGTCCCGTGTTAAATGTCCTTGTTAGCTTTTATCATATTTAGTCAACCTTATCCTATTTTTATTTTGCTCAAGTTTTAGTCAACTAAGGTCCGGTTTCACAGACAGGGCTTAGAATAAACCAGGATTAGGCCATAGTTCAATTAGGACATTTAAGTAATTTTTATTAGCATGCATTAGAAAAAACATTACTGGTGTGCATCTTGAGACAAAACAAGTTTCTTTCAGTTGAAACAGCTCAGATTTACATTTTAATCTGGGACTAGGTTTAAGCCTTGTCTGTGAAACCGGGGGTAAAAGTCTCAGTATTTTAGTCTAGTGTTAATCAATGAAAACTTGACATTTTAGCAATAAGATTATTATTCATTAACCCTACAGCAGTATTAATTTTGACAGGCATTTTTTATTTAGTCTTACTCAAATGTACGTTTTTAAGTTATTTTCTTATTTAGTCAACCTTGTCCTGTTTTTGTTTAGTCAAGTTTTAGTCGACAAAATGTCTGAGCATTTTAGTCAGGTTTTAGTCCATGAAATCTTAGTCACATTTCATCATGCTGTATAATGGTTAAACTGATAAAAATTATTTTTGCTCAAAATTATAATCGTAATGATTGTTTTGAATTGATTTGTATTTCAGACATTGCACTTTCACCAGTAAGCACAAATCAGTAGCATGTGGACTCATACACATGGTTTATTTCACCTCATCTAGTGTATTTGTTCATTTATTCAACGATCACAATCGCAAACAATATAGTTGAGACTCATGACAGAACACAGACCGGCTGAGTGATGCTTTTATTTTGATCGCTAAACTCCTGCTTGTTTGTTGCTGTATTCAGATCATCTGCGGCGGCGCTTCCGCAATAAAGAGCGAGCACGTGCTTAAAATTAAGATTGCAATCAAATAAGCAAAACACCGGGCAGACAATGTATCAATGTAACAGCGAAGCTCTGATTTGGGGATTTGAACTCTTGGTATCTGGCAACCGCACTCATGAGAGTTCGCGTAGTAGAGGCGTGTACAGCAGTCCGCAGTAATATTTTGTCTCCTTTTTTGGACGAAAATAAAAAGAGGTTTTGGGTAAAGTTTTTATTTTTTAATGCATAGTAGTCTCATCTTTTATCGTCATCGAAATTGCATGTTGATATAGTCATAGTTATCATTTATTGACCTTATTGTCGTCTCGTCATTGTCTCGTTTTAGTCATGGGCTAAAAACATTTTTCGTCATAGTTTTTGTTAACGAAATTAACACCAGTTAAGAGCAGTGAGTGATTTTCTGTATTTATATATTGTTTGGGCATATTAAAGGGATAGTTCACCCAGAAATTAAAATTCCATTCATCTTCAGATCACAAATTTTTTGATGAATTCTGAGAGCTCTCTGACCCTCCCATAGACAGCAAGGATCCTTACATTATCATGGTCCAGAAAAAAATTACGACTTTATTCAACAATTCGTCTCCTCTGCGTCACCCTCGCGCCATTTTGGAGAATATCCACTGAACGTAAACAGGGTATGCTGTTGAATAAAGTCGTTATTTTTTTTTCTTTTCCACACAAAAAGTATTCTCCTAGCTTCGTAAAATTACGGTTGAACCCCTGATTTCACATGGATTATTTTACCGATGTCCTTGCTACGTTTCTGGACCTTGATCGTGGAAGTTCCCTTGCTGTCTATGGAGAGTCAGAGAGCTCTCAGAATTCAACAAAAATATCTTAATTTGTGTTCCGAAGATGAACAAAGGTCTTATGGGTTTGGAACGACATGAGGGTGAGTAATTAATGACAGAATTTTCATTTTTGGGTGAACTAACCCTTTAACAGTGTAGACAGCAGTATAGGTATAGTAGCAGTATAATACTACATATTATGCTGCTGCCACTTAATGCACAGATCTAACATAAACATGCGATTTATTTCCCAGCTGTTTATCTTCACAGACATAACCGACTGTGTTTGTGTTGTGTGTATTTGACAGTTTAAGCGCAATAAGATATGAAAGAGAACTTAGTTTAGTGCTCACATGCCGTGTGACAGCTGTTTTCTGTGCGTTCGCTTCGGATGTGTGCGCTCAGAAAACCCTTAATCAAAAGTTTAAACTGATATGGCTTTAAAATGCATGATTTCAGTGCAATAGACATGATAATAAAAACCAAGCAGATGGTTTTTAGCAGAGTATCTGAGGCGCGAGCTGTAATGGCGCAGCTCTATTCAGGAAAAGGGGGCGGGGAGCAGTAGCTCATTTGCATTTAAAGAGACATGCACGAAAACAGCGTGTTTCTGCTTCCACTCAAAATGGGCATTTTCAAAATGATATAATAAATTATCTGTGGGGTATTTTGAGCTGAAACTTCACAGACACATTCTGGGGACACCTGAGACTTACATTACATCTTGTAAAAAGGGGCATAATAGGGGCCCTTTGAACACTGAAGTCTGCATGTTAAATGATCTCCTGCTCATCACACAGTATGCTTTATTTTTCTTTAGTTATAAAGTGAATGAGCAGCCAAATGCTCTGTAAGCGGGTTAAAATTGTGCAAATAAACTAGTAAGCACTGAACGGCCTATTATCCATGTGACCCAGTGTAGTCTGTGATCAGTGTGAGCAGCGCTGCATGTCACTGTCCTTCATGTGATCCAGTCGATACGTCTGCAGTGAACAGACTGAAGACTCACAGCTGCAGTGGTTCTTCTCTCTGTTTGTGTTCATGTCATTGTGGTTGAAATCTATGAGCATCATTTACTGCAGATAATCTAAAAGTTTGTCTGGGTCTGGACCGTTCTCTTCTTTCAGCTGGAAACATGTAATTGTTTGTAATTGAGCTGAACACTTTGTTGTTCTTCTTTTTATTTGACTGTTGTTCTTTTCTCTTTTGTTCATTATGTTTGGTTGAGCATATCATATATATATAT